CATTTTTTCCAAGGAGTTTGGATTCCGCTGTATTGCCAAACCACAATAAATTGTTAATTGGTCAATTAATTTGGCAGTTAATTTACCTTTTCCTCCGAGGCCTTTCACTTTTTTTTCCAGATTTCTCAATCGAGTGCCCATTCTCTTTTGTACGTGGTCAATACACTCTTTCTTTTGCACCTCAAAATTTTCATACGGATTTTTCTCCATTATGCCCTTGAAGGTTTTGCTGTCACCATCACCGATGTAGTTTGCGTATATGATGCCGTGCAAAGTTTCGGAGCGTTCAAACATCTCGACGATAGCGTCTACCTCCATCTTACCAGATGAGCCTTCATGGTTCGATTGACATTGATCGGTGTGTGTTTTGAGCCATTCTTCATACTCAGCTGTTCCTGATTTACTCTTCCAGTGCTCGCAAGACTTACAGTACTTCGACTTCACTTCAACGTCGACGATTTTGCCTGTGAACCATCCAATCAATGACGTGATTCCGAAAAGCGACGAAAATCCACGTTTCCTCCACGAACCATTACCGGAAACAGTTATCCCTACAAATAGTCCATTTTCTTCACTTTTCTTTTTCTCTTCTTCCGCTGCTTTCTTCATACTAGCGTCTCGTATGGTTGCCGTTGCGATCGAAATCATATCCTAGTGGATAGATTAGTTCTGTCGTAAAAAGATTGAAATATCGGTCGTGGCAATTCCATGAATGCACAAAACTTGATTATTTTATGTAGTCCCACTCCTATAGTAGTCGCATTGCTAGCACGATTCGACGGTTAATTTCATATCCATTTCGTATGAATTTACTACTTGAAATGTCAACTCTTGGGCAATTTGGGCAAGAGATGACTATTTTGAAGCCTAAACCTTGAGGACTTGTTTCATGAAACTGTATGTCTGAATCGCACGTTTTACACTTCACGTGTTGCGAAATGGCAGAGAAAACGGCAAAAAAGTTTATGATTCTATAGCCAAATTCATATTTTACATCGAAATCTTCATCACCAACTTTTAATTTCTTGGCAGAAGCACTGACTCCTGCCGAATCGCTCTCAGCCTCAAATCTATTCAACGGTCGTCTCGCTGATACATTGCTCCGATGCCGCGTTGGATACGATGTTTTCGTACCTTTCTTGCCCGTGAACACTTTTTTGTCACTCATTGTAACTCTAAGGCCACAAATACTGTCAAAAATTAGCACTATACACAAAAATCGTGATTTCAAGCGAGGAAATGATGCCCTTTCTGTACATGTACTGACGCTGACTGACGATAGCGTATTAGTATAGACTAACGTACTTATTTCATTTTAAAATGCTTCAACTGAACACAAACTCCTTGTAACGACATCTGTTAATGTATTAGAGAAGTTAGAAATTAAAAGGAAAGTCATTAGGCTATACCCTTCCAGCAGGTATCTATATAACGTGCCGCAGGTAGTCCTTTCAAAGCAGTCCGACGCGCTTGCGAAAGAGCTCGGAATTTCAAAGAAAAAAATTTTGTACAGGTATAAAACTTTTTTCCCTTATTCTAGAAGGTCCTCTGGGAAAAATGAAGACGGTTAAACCGCCCACTTTGGGGCCCAGGATTAGTAATCAAATTATTTGGATTGCTCGTAACTCTAATTTTACGTAACCTCGTATTTAGACTAGAAATACGTCATCAAAATGATGACGTCAGAGGAATAGTATCGGTTAAAAAACCTAAAAATTGACTTAGGTAAGTGTGAGTGTTGGTTATGAGAAGACATCTCGAGTCTCTTAAACTAGTTTAAACATCGAACATTGCTGTTGCAGTAATTTCACATCTCAGTTAGACAACGACGATGAACGCATCCAGTAACCACATTTGAGGAATACGTAAATGAAGATACCGACTAGTCTTATAAGAAATTTGAGTTAAAACTTACCTACTATCTAAAATACCTAACTGAAGAATCAAATAATGGAAGCAAAAATTTGTGTTACGGCTAAACTCATTTTAAGAATATTTAGGTAAAGATGTCGAGTACAGTTAGCAGAAATTTGAGTTACAAATAACTGTAATTCTAGTTTACTCTTTCCATTTTTCGGTTTCCTTAACTAAAAATCAGTCCTAAGCTTAATCAAATGTAGGTAGTCTGTAACCGTGAGTTGTTTCCAATGTAACACAAAAAGAGGAATAATTCCTGATTGAGATTCGAACTTGTATAATTTACATCTTCTGTTTCAGTTTCTCACTTTACTAAACCATCTTAATAGTTCTGAAGCTTGTCAACTGGTGTAAAGAAATTGTCTAAGTAATTCCAGATTAGAACAATTTTTTTACTCCAATTAATGGGCTTCAGAGCTATTAAGATGATTTAGTAAAGTGAGAAACTGAAACAGAAGCTATAAATTATACAAGTTTGAATCTCAGTCAAAAACCATTCCTTTTTTAATGTTACATTGAATATCCACCCACCCACATCCAAAAGCAACAATACATATAATAAAAACAACACATAATATACAAGCTAAATTTCTTAAGACCTAACACCTTTCCTCCTTTACGGGTAATAAAAATTTAAAACTTGCATCTTTTATCCAATCCATTTATTAATGATACGTTTATTACACAAGTTTATACATTTTATCATATAAAATCAAATACAAAAGATATCTTAAATTTACATACAATAAAAGATAAAAAATTAAAATTTGCATCTTTTATCCAAAATAAATAATACATTTATTATACAAAGGTTGCGGTTCTTTTGGCGTTACAAATGTTTTGAAGCATTCTTTTTCTCTTTCTTCTCAATGAAGAGAAAAAGAGAGGAAGAACGCTTCCAAGCATTTGTAGTATCAAAGTCTAATCCAAAGGATATCTTAAAGTTACATACAATTGCAGTGGCGAGGGTAATATTGTTAATGTATTAGGCAAAGGAGCAACAAGATCCTGATAGGATAAAACATTTTTTTCGTCAGTTCTTAACACTTCATAAGCATAGTAATGCTCATTGAATGTCAATGTCTTGAACAAGCGGCAAATAAAATACACTTGATTGTCCATGACATAAATATTTTCAACTTCAGCAAACTTCGGTAAATAGTCATTCTCCTCTGATAATTCAACAGTTACATTGTAGGAAGGTTTGAAAAAAATCCCGTCAATTTTTACCCAAGACACAGCAATAAGATTGTTTTCTGCAGGCAGAGTATCCCATATACCGCGAAGAGCTGAAATTTCCTCATCAGAGACAGTTTTTCTTTTACCCCATACAAATCTGTTAAACTTTTGTTGCTTCAGAAAAACCTCGTTTAGCATCAATTGATTTTTTAATGCTATAGTTTTGCAAATATTTACCCTGCCAGCAACAGTATGCGTTGCCATCTTCGCGAATCTGTGCCTCGCTTCAAACCTGAATGTCGACAAGTTCGCGAGAGGACCAAACTTTTTCATCATTCGGGGGTAGTGAATCATGAAATGGAACTTAGGCTTTAATGTGTGATTCGAGAGCTTCAGATATTGCCGGTTAATTTCTTCAATATCATAAGCCAACGCGTCACATGAGTCAGAGTAAACCCTACGATTTACCAACCTGTCATTGATCCGCCTGAGCAACAAGAAAAAATTCCATACAGGGTGATCCTCAGGCACATACGAGCCAACAATTAATCCGAAATATCGCACTAATGTCAACATTTGAGAAGCAGACGTCTTATATTTAACTTGCTGACCCTCAATGGAGATGGTGGCAGATGGCTTTGAGATGCTATCACAACCGTAATCAAATGCATTTAACTTGGTTCTCAGCAAAGGCAAAGGTATAAGTTTGTAGGTTTTAATAAGGGAGAAAAGTATAAATTTCATAGAATATTGGCAAACTCCCATACACCAATCATGCAAAATATCAGTGGACACATTTTCGAAAATGTTAAACCCCTCGACTTCTAACAAACAACATTTCTCCTTTATACCCGTCTTAGACAAATCACATATTGCGACATCAGATGCATAAGAGTCCATGTTTCTCAACAAGTTAACATCTTCCCTCATTAATTTTTGAAGGCCGTCTTTATCTATACGACATATCCTACAAGAATATTTGGAAGAGAACGATTCTGTGAAACCAAGAATTCCGGATAGAGCCAAGTTATCTCCAACGAAAGCACACAAGTGAAATTTTATCACACCATTGTACGTCTCTGTTTCAACGATGATGCCATTTTTAGAAAGGTCATTTAAGCAATCAATGACCTTACTAAAAATAACAGCATTACCGAATTTAACCCTATCGGATGAATGAAACAGAGCAAAAAGAAATATGTTTTTTAAATTACTTACAAAGTGTGGAGGCAGAAAAGGTAACGATGCATAAACTGCACCCAGCTTATGAACACCGGCTTGGGCTCCTAATGGATTCCCAATTTCGAAATCGTCCCAGTATATAACAATTGGAAAATGCAAGCCTACCTCGTTTTTGAACGTCTTTCTCATTGATGTCCAAACAGAACCTTGAACAATATTCTTAATGCCTGATTCACCACTGGTCTGATTCATTAGAACCTGGTAATCTAACGTCTCCTTGAGAACGTTGGGTAAAGAAAAAAAATTTTTTAACACTGTACCTAACTCTACAACCTGCATTGTGCACTTAACAGGGACTGTTGAAAATCCGAAAATCGTTCGCTTTCCCTCCAACCTTTCGCCAATGGTGACTTCAATGGATTGGACAAGAGTCCCTACTTGTTGGTAGTAACCGAGGCGCCGAAAATCCGACGCAAAACTTTGCAAGGAATCGGGAATAAGAAGGTCCGATGGTTTAACAAGGCTTGCCACCTGGTGGTAAATGTCCGGAGGCAACAGTTCTTTCAACTTCATGAAAATTGCCTCCTCGAGATCAATCGACAATATATTATGCAGTTCGTCTACAACTAGCTGGACCACATTCCTGGGTATTAACACATTTCCATAAAGAGAGGACAAGAACAGGGATATTTGAGTTTGAAGAAAATCAAAAGCCAGAACAACACTTTTTTGTGGAGAGGAAGGTGAAGAGAAAGGTAAATGTAAATCATTATTGACAATATCGACACTTAAATCTGGAAAACTAGTGGTATCGGGATCACTTCTCTCGGTATTCACTTTATGAGCTTTCTGTAAATGCTTTCTGAGACTGCGAAGGGTGCCGTAGTGCCGCAAACATTTTGCCTGACCACAATAATAACCTCTGTCGGAGGGACAAAACTTTCGGATGTGGTTAATAAGCTTTAAGCAATCAGAGTAATTTTTTTTGCACGAAAAGCAAACAAACATTTTTAAAAGAACTTATTATAACTCTTATTATAACTTATCTTATTATAACTTATCTTATTATAACTTGTTATATAATCTGCTCTTATCTTATTATAATTGAGTGAGATGGGCGTTTGGGTCCAATAGAAAATCCTCTGGTAAAGAATCATTAACCTCCAGCGAGGAAGCTTGAAAAAGGGGTTGTGTTTCGAAAGGAAACAATTGGTTGTTTGATGACAATGGGCGGGATAGTGTGTCGGAAAGGGACTGCTGACTTTGAGTAATGACAGCTGAGGCAGAGATTGAAGATGACGGCCCAGCTACTGGCTCCTTATTACTAACACCCAAATCTGTCAGGAGTTGAGAAATACCTGCTGTTACCCTTTTCCTGTCTCCAATGTCGTAGAAAGCTAATGACAATACCTTCCAAACAGACTTGGCTTTCAAGGGAAACTCTGCTTGCAGAGCGTAAATTATCTTAAAGGCTACGTCAATTGCCTCAATCAGTGAATTAAATTTGTAAAATGTTTCATCGACGACAACCCATGCAGAGTTAATCACTTTCCATTCCCCCGTGGCAAATACACACGGCTGAATGTTTCACCTCCTGATTGGAGAGCCTTCTTCCTTAGGTTTACTGCTTCCTGAATGTGCGCGTCGTTGTGTATCAGTGTTACGAAGTGATCCCTGATCTCAACGTTTGTCGGCTTCGTTGCCGTCTTTTTAGCGCCGCTCTTCCCGCCTACGTTCCCGGGCGGCGGGGTAATAAGGGGCAGTAGGAGGATAAGTGCATCATTCCGAATTGTCGGGTCCTCCCCTGAAAAGAAACACAAACAAAATAAGTAACACAAGTTTCGAAGTATTAGTGTAGTAGCAGAAATATGGTTGAAGTGAAAACTGCACAAAATGTTAAAAAACAGAAAGTAAAAATGGATTTTAAGGCAAAGTGTAACCAACAAGCATTAGAAAAAATATGGAAAGGTATCGTTTTAAAAATGATTAATATTCCAAAAAATTAAGATTGATTCAGGGTGGTAAAAATGCCTCTTAATTAAGCATATCAAGAATCATGTGACTCACCTTTTGCACTCTCCAGAACGCGCTCGTAGCTTTCCTTCAACTTTTTATCGGAGAGTTTCACTAACTTGAGTTTGGCTAATTTTATTATTTTATCTTTTGCCAGAGCAATATTAGCGAAGAGATTGTTCTCCTTTCCGGGAAACTCTCTGGTGAAATCGTCTAAGAGCTGTAAAAAGAAAAAAATTTTTAAACTATTGTGTTAACTTCGTTTAACAAACACAAGCACTATGTTCACATCATGTAAAGTCCAATTTCCATAAGATTGGAGTTCAGTGATATATTATGCTTGTGTTTACTAAATGCTGTTTTAAGTCAACAAAATTACCGTGCTTCTACCGCAATATTAATGTCTGTACAACAAATACTTACCAGTCTGTATCTTTCCTGAATTCGCAGAGCTGGAAACTTCAGGAAATAGTTGAATATTCCCTCATCGGCAAGAATACTCTTCCGCTCTTTTTCTGTGGCTCGCCAAAAATCCTCCACCGCTTTCCAGGGGTAGACGTTGGTTTCTAAAAAGTTTAAGGCTGTCCTGGTCTCTTCTGTGTCTGAAAACGATGCGAGAATTATAAGTTTAAACAATTAGGACAATTCCAAGTTAATTAACTAGTACCTCTAGCCTAGCAGGACTGATGTCATAAGTTATGTATACTCACATGACGTAGGGTCCGGAGCCTCTGCTCTCTTCAAAGAACTCCTACCCGACGTGGGTGTTGATTTGCTGGAAGACCGGCTGGAAGACGCCGATCTTGATGAAGGCGGCAACACGCCACTCTTTCGAAACTTATCCCTTTTCTTTACATAGGCTTTATAGAGAGGCCCTGATAAGTTTCTCTGGTGTTGAAATGGCGTCTTCGGCAAAAACGTCAGAAAGAAAGACGCAGGAGACGTTCCTGGGAATATCTCGCACAGCTCGTTGGCCAGGCGCTGGAACACGGCGGATTGAATAAGTCTTGAAGGCTCTTTTTCTAAAATGCCATCGATTACCAAAACGCTGGCATTTTTTCTGTCCTCCTCAACAATCTCTTGCTCCTTAGCTTTCGCCAAAAGCGATCTCCCTAATTGGGTTTTTAGAAGATAATCGCGACACTGGAAAGAGAGAAATTAAAAATGCTTGCCGAGTGGATTACAACAGCATCGCTTAAATCAGATACTTACAATGCCGGGAGGAAATTCTTCAGGTACGCTTGTTCTTTGTACCCCTGAGACCGAGGGCTCGTTCCTTTCTGCCTCTTCGAGGAGGTTACTAAGCTATTGGAAAATGCAGGGAAAGATTAATTGAAACGTTACAATGAATAGAAATTGAAAAAAAAGAGCCAGATAGGAAAACATCAAACATAGTGTTATTAATTCAAATCAACAAATTTTATGAACTGTATTAATGAGTAACTGTCAATGAGTAGGGAATATGTTTCCACGACTTGAAATAAAAATCTACTATCCGGTGAAAACAACCTAGTCAAAATGATGTCAAAGTGACATCAAATTGATGAAGATTATGATGTCAAAATGAATGAGTTATGTACCACGAGTCGCAATGAAGCCTTGAGAATCAGATTTTGTCAGTAAGTGTATGATAATGTCTCATCCGGAAACTTCGGATCCCAAAAACCTTTAAAAAGATTATATTTATTATATGTAATATGTAAAAAAAATATTAAAAAATAAGATATTAAATCTTAATATTTAAATTAAAATATTAAAATTAAAATTAATAATAAAATATACACCAGAAGGTGTATTTGCATCTGAATCAGTGAAAAATGGCTACAAAATCACAATTAATCGATGAATTAAAATATGTTTACAGAACTTAGTAAAAATTATAAAAGTGAGCGAATTCACCACGTGTTTACCAATAAAATTATAAATAATAGTAAATCATCATTTTGACTAGGTAACGAGGTTACACCATTCCTACCCAAAGCTTTACATGCATATTAGTAAATGAGTAAATAAAGAAGCTACTAACAGATGCATTTTGATCTGCAGGCAAATCAGCACTGTTCATATCTGCCTTCCATGACTCGAGTAAATTTCGAAATCTACTTCTCATCCCAATATTTGGAATGAGTTGAATTATTTCGTTTTCATTTAAGCCTCTCAGAGTGCGAGCATCAATAGTTTCCTCTAAATATAAAATAAAATAAACATATTAGTGCTGCGAATGTGTAAAATTGTGCTTTTTTTTAAGTAAAAATTTTTTTTTATTTATGTAGAGGATTTTTGTTTTTGAAAATTTGTGAGTGATAGAGACATCAGCGATTCCTAGAAATAAGGGTGTTATTTTGAAAAAAGTTGCTCGGCACAATTATTAAATAAAAAAAATCAGAAACTTTTATAAAAACATTGCGAAGAGTAGTTAGAGAGTTTAGAGAGTATGGTCGGAGAAACTTGAAATTTTTCGGAAGTGCTGACATGCGATCCTGTGCAATATGTATATTTCTAAAAAAGATATAGTATTTAATTTTCCAAAAATTTTACCCTAAGACTTTCAACAATGGGCAGTTTTCCATATAATATTTACTTAAAAATAATTTACAAATGTATCATGCGAGTTTCAACGCAGTCTCAGCTTCTTCCATACTCCACTAAATTCCAAACTCTTTGTTATTTTGCATGCAAAGACATTCTTATATATGTATTAAAACCTTGTCAAAAATTTTCACATAAAGATACATTTGTAAGCACTTTAAGATAGTTAGTCCGTGAATCGCAATTCATAAGAAAAAAAATATAATATTAATAATTTGAAAATTTTACTGTATGTTAATAAATGTGGTATCTACACGTCTGTACAAATTAAAAGTAATTGACTGTCCCGAACGCGAGATAATCGCTATCAAAGATTGTATTTTTTTTCCACGGAGTTGCGCCGTGCTCCGATACGTGGGGCAGCATCGACGCGTGATCGACCAGTGCGCGGGGCGGCGTGATCGACAACCCCGTGCAGATCGAATTGGTACCACGAGACTGACAGCAGGCACGTAGCAGTCAGCCTCACGGCCCGATTACATCGAGAATATGTTCGATCCTTAACAACCTCGATTTTCGCGATTATTTGACATACTCTAGAAAAATTTTTACTGGTGTGATCGGTTTAATCTATAATCACGATTAAGGAATCCGTAACACTGATTACAGATTAAGCATACCTATTTCTGAATTCAGAAATTGATAATTCAGAAATAGGTATGTTTAATCTGAAACCACGGTTACCAAATTTTCTCAAAGAAGCGACTGCATCATTTATAAAAAAAAAAAATAACCGTAGGTAATCTTAGTTAAATTTTAATTAATAAAACAAAAATACAAAAGTTTTTTTGGTTAACCACTTACCTTCAAATCGTGGGATAAAATCAGCGAATCCCCACGCAGTCAATAAATCCTTCGTATATTGATCCATATATCACAGGCCACGTAACACAAATCACAAATATAATATGCGATATAAACAAGCTCGACAATGACCTGTTCGCGAGAAAACGATATAACAAACGAAACTCGACGATGAGTTCGCGAAAAGAAACGCGTAAAATCAATCTTCTGGAAGTAAACAACACTGCGCGTATGTTGCTTCCTCAAGATCAAAAGAAGAACTAACAGCCACAGCGAGACATTGACTGCCTAACGGCAGAGTAAGGAACTTATAATTTTAAAATAGATATATTGATAATCTGAAATCAGGAATTGATAATTCCGAAATAGGTATGCTTAATCTAAAATCACGGTTACGGATGCAGTAACCGTGATTTCAGATTAAGCTTAATTCAGAAACAGGTATGCTTAATCTAAAATCACGGTTACTGAATCCGTATGGAGTTTTCAGATTAAACATACCTATTTCTGAATTATCAATTCCTGATTTCAAATTACCGACATATCGATTTTAGATAACGGATCACTGATTTTTGAATTGTCAAGTTGAAAACAGAGTTGTAACTCAAACTTTTCTATAAAACAAATTTCGAGTTAACAACCACAATTCAATTTTACTCTCCTAATTTTTAAATTTTACGTCCACAAATTTAGGTTATACAAATAATGTTAATTTTAATTTGGTTAACCAAGTTATGTAGGTTATGAACATGAGTTAAGGTAATCGCATTTGTAAGATGATTAACTCAACTTTCCACCGACAACTGACATTTGCAAAAATGTAATTAAAATTTAGAGTGACAACCGTCCTTATCCGTGACGTCACAGTCCTCTCTTAAGCGATATTTCTATTTGACCCCGCGTAACTAAAAATCGTAATTAGCTATTCTATCTATTTCAAAGATGTTGAAGTTATACTAGTCAATTCTTTCAATTAGTTCTGTCGATATTCAGTTACGCAAAGATAATTTTCACTTAAGGGACACTAACCAAAATGTAAAGTTGCTTAACTATAAAAATAACGGCCAAAATTTTTCCCAGAGTCCAAAGCATCTTTTAAGCCAATAAAAGAAATCGATTTTTTTCAAAATTCTACGCAGTGGTGTTACCCCTTCATCTTCATCTTATATCAGTTAAAACAGAGAAAATGATACATAGAAAATGATAGAATCGATCAGTTTCGCGTTGTATCAAAATACTTGTAATATTGAATTGAATTAACTTATATGTTTTTATATTAAAAATAATTCTAAAAGCGTATTGACAATGTAATAAGAACATATATTTATTTAAAATTAATATTTAACGGATTACACATTCTGAAAGAATAATTTAATTAAATTCGTGATTCGAGACTCGCCATCAAAATTCTCGACAGTTACGTAATACGCCTATATTAAATTTATTTTTAAAAGTATAGGAAGAGTAAAATATGGAGAAAGTCACAATAGTACGTACATATAAAATAAGACAAGAAGTGGATGGTGAAAACTTATCGAAAAGAAAGATGACATTCGGAAGGAATCAGGTAATAATTGTCTTTTTCTTTTTCTGAAAAGGGAATTAACAACTTGCAACTATCTGACATATTTAAGGGGTTTTTATTTCGGAATTGCATCCATCTTTGAAATATATAATTAATATCTCGCAACGGACGCGTTGACCCTGCAGGAAATGCGACGGGAAGAAAGAAGGAATCTTCGCCGAACGCGAAAAAATCACCGACACACATTTTCGTTTCTCCCTTTCTTTTTTTTTCTCCCCGGCTAATGCCGTGCCGAAACTAAGAACTAAGAGAAGATGAGAGAACATGATTTTTCTTTTGGTATCACTCACTTTTCGACCTGTTTTATCCTATCGAGATGATCGCCACTACATTGATCCGCTTTTCTCTTTCGCTCTCCGTTTCTCTCGCTCATTCTCCCCTTCCATCATCTCCATTCTTTTTTCATAAACTTAAGTTATATACAATTAAGTGTTTCGCGTATTTGACTTTTAGAGGATCGGCAGTCTGACCGTACATTTGTTATAAGTGCCAATTTTTCCAATTAGATCTTTGAAACTAAAATTACGCTTGAATTGTTGAATGCAATTAAAAGAAATTTTTGTGATACCTTCATACTTTTGAAATCTACTTCTAATAACGTGATTCATAATCAATTTCATTCATATTATTAGTTTCGTGCATAGAGCGATTTGCTGCCAATTTACTGGATTTTCCAAATTTCAAGTCAAAGCTTATTTTCAAAACTTACAACTGCAAGGGTTATTTTAAATTATTATGCTTGTATAATAATATATCGGAGTAATATATTACAGTATAGAATTTCCAACTGCGCCTTTTAGACTTATATTGCAATACACAATAAACTTCTCTCGCATTCTCTTTCCTCTTTCCCTCACTATCTAGCTCTCTCTATTTTTATTCACGCATACGCACACAAAACACGCATACACATACGCACGCGCAATCGTTTTCCATCGACCTTTGCATTTCGCCCCAGTACTCGAAATCGCCTCTGACCGTCACGCGAAATCTTTTTTTTCTTCCGGTCGACTTCGGAAATCGATTAGACTCGCAATAATTGTGTTATCCTATTGTTAATTGCAGAGAAGTTTTTCGCGGATTCCCGGACGACCCTCTCGCAAAATAATCCGCTCGTTGGTCAGCGGCCGGAGAAAATTCGCGTAACGAATTCGCTTCGTATTCGTGAAGGACCGTTATAAGGCACTTTTACCTGCACTACGAAATTGTATCGTTAGATGAACATGACGCGTGTACGCTAACAACATCTGCGCGCTAATAAATATCAGTACTTTCCGAAAACTCGCTATTTAAACTACTCGCTAAACGCAAAAAGTGCGCGGACTCGACGCGCAAGCTCCGAGACGAGAATTCGCTAAAAGGCATTTAAGTGCAAGGGCACTTGCTCCAATTTATTCGCTAAATTGCGCGTTATTATCTTTCCTCGCAAACACTTGTAAAACATTTTTTTTCCCTACGTCGTTTGAGCGCGATTGGATTTGCGAGGGGGGAAGAGGGGGGGCTCGTCCGAAACGCGTCTCCTCAGTCTAGAATCCGAGATTTCCGAAGTCGACGTGTGATCGCGCGCGAACGCGATCTGGTTGATATTTTACGCGGCATTCCTCGTGGTGGGAAGTTCTCGTTCCGCCAAAGCGGAAGCGCAATCGCACGCGGGTCGCATCTTCTCGAAGCTCGAAAGCTCAAAATATCCTTCCCTTCTCGCGGAAGTCAGTGCTAGTATAGTATAGAGTGTCAAATCGCGTCGTGTGTGTTTTCCGCGGCGTCGCACGCATCCAGAGCGGCGACCATCGCACCTTCCAAGTTAGCGGATAATTACTGGAAGAGAGAGATAAAAAAGACGTTTTTTTCCGTTTTTTCTTTTTCTTTAAGTTAATTAATTAATTAGTTAGTTGGTTAAACTACTCGAATACTGAGATAGTGACTTTTCGTTTATTATTTCTTGCGCAAGTAACACGTAAGCGATCTATATAAAGTCAGGAACGATAATACGAGAGGAATTATGAATTTGATTTGCTTCCTTTTTCTTCTTCATTTCGTTTTCTCGTGTTTGAAATTTTATGCACACTGGGTCGCGAAGGTGACGTATTGTCGCCCATCGGATCGGTCGACGAGATCAGCGTCTCAAACGATCACAAAAGTGATTCAAAGCGTCGAATACCTCTCACTTCCTTTGGAGTTTTCGTTCTTAAATTAAGGAGGGTAGACTTTCGTCGGCTCAGCCTTGATGCCTGCGCTCCGTTTTCCTTATGCATATTATTATTAATATTACCTTTTGTGTCATTAAAGTATTATTAAATATGAATATTATCAATATCTTCAGTATTATATTAACGGTACTCTATTATGATTATTATTATTAGCATTATTAATATATTATTGTTCTTCTTATTATTATTTTTGTTATGCATTAACTGTTAATTATTAATAAGTATTATTATTAGTACTGTTATTGTTGTTGCTGTTGTTATTTTGTTATTATCGGTAATATTTGTAGTAATATTATATATTACCATTATAATCATTAATAGTATTAATATTATTGTTATTATTATTATTGTTGTTGCCGTTATTATTATTAATATTACCACCATCATTATTATTATTAATATTATTATTACTGTTATTACTAATATTATTGTTGTCATTATTTTTTTTATCATTAGTATCATCATTTTTATCATCACCATCATTATCTTTTTTTCACTTTTTATACATTACGATCGGTACAATGGTCGTAAACGCACTCCTTGAGCTTGTTAAAGGCTTTTTCTTCTTTATCGAGACTTGTACGTACTTATAGTTTTCTTTCCTTCAAAAGGAATTAAGTAGAAAAAAGAAGTAATAGTAGTATAATAGTAGAAGATGAAGAAGTAGAGGAATTCGAAGAAATGTTCCTTAATGGTGCTAGAAATACGCTCGCTTAAAGTCATTCGTAAACTGTACCATGGACGCAAGTAGTTCTTTCTTCTAGCTGAACGGCGGAATGTCTCTAGTCGTATTTATAATTTTCCCTCTCAACACACATACACACACGCACATACACACTCTTCTTTTTTACTAATCCTTTCTTGCACCAGCAATTTGAAGAAAAAAAAAAGAAAAAAGAATCAGTCGAAGTCGCACCAAGGAAACTTTCGAACCCTTTCGCGGGCGGATTATACCCTCTTTTTCTTCCTCACCACGAATCTTTCTACGATCCCGTTAAAGGGTTACAGGACTCTGAAGTAAAAATTTGGGGAGTTGCAAAAAGTTGTAAAATAATAGGAGTATGAGTTGTTTGTTATCTTTGTTATGTATGTCTGTTAAGTACATTTAACAATATCTTAGTATTAAAAGAATTAGATTTTATAGTGAATATTAACATCATTAACATCCCTGTGTTCATTTTTTAGAATAGCATTTTTTAAAACTGTAACCGCACGATAACTTGAGAACGGCTTAATCAATTCAATTAACTTCATATCTGACAAAAATGTTTATCATAATTGTATGCACCGGTCTTCATGGATGCTTCTCACAAACTTCATAACTATTTTTTATTTATTTTACATTGATGTATGATTCTTTCGCAGAACAGAATTGAAATGATCACTGCAGTGATGTTAATGCATCATAAAATCTAATTGTCTTGTACAAAGTATATATTGTTAAATGTAGTCAACATACATAATAAAAAGTTCGTACTCTTATTAATTTACAATTTTTTACAACTCCTCAATTTTTTTCTGACTTTTACTCCTGTTAGGCCCGATTGTTCCAACCTGTTGGTAAACTAACTAATAGTTAAATCATATATATGTCTTTGTTCATCCTTTACATTAGACAAAGATAGACATATGATTTAACTATTAGTTAACTTACCAACAGGTTGGAACAACCGGCCCTTAGGGTCCTATAACCCCTTAATCACACACCGTTCTTCACCCATCGCAATTTACTTTACATCGCCGATCGAATACAATAATACGTTATCGCGCTGTTCACACCCGTTGATTTTCACACCACATTCGCCGTTGTTGTCCCTCCGCTGTGTTCATTATCGTTACTTAAGCTTTATCGTTACTTTGATAGTAATTTAGTAATAGTACGACGATACCTTAATAAGGCCCAGTAAGGCTGCGTGGGTCGAACGTGACATTCCCACGAAAAAAATTTTATTTATATCTTTAAGTTTTTTTTCTTTCTTTAATTCTTTTCGCGCGCGTCGCTTTGGAACAATAAATCACGTTGACGCATCACGTCTCGAAACGCGTTCGATGAACTGATGCTTTGGAAAAAAATGTATGCCGCCACTCGAAAATTGTCGTCCAATGTTTCAAGGCATCTTTCCCCCCGTTCCTCGTTTATTGTCGCGTTATTGTTTTTCCGCAATTATCGATTAGTTCATGCATATTTTCCCTTTTTTTTCTCTTGTAATTTCCCGAATCGTTTTCTAATTTTTGACAATCTTGCTGTTAAAAACGTAGCAATTAGACGTATTTTCGGTATACGCATTCCAGCGGACTTTCGCGAGTTCGTTATACCTATCAGCGAAAATACAAACGGCACGTTTCTTCTTTTTTATTCAGATTAAGGAAAATTGCAAAAACTGCTCTTAACGTTACGGTACGAGATATCAGGAGTGTGCGGCCTCTCTTTTCAATCGCGCGTACTCGAATATTGTCATATATTTTTGCATTTAGCGGATTATCGAATTGTTGGTATGTGTTTATCTGTAAAAATCGTCGAAATATACGCACGCTCGCAACACCCAATCGTAGTTCTAGGGCCAACCTTACGCTTAACAATATAATTAATAATAATAATAATTTTTCTCTCGCTTCTTTTGAACTTATGGGGTACTTTTCATCCCGCCCGTCTAGTTTCCAATCCCCGACCCCGGCACTGGATTTACGTCTACTTATGCGTATAGGTGTGTCGGTGTATATGGCTGCGTATGCGTGCGTGCGTACGTGTGTATTATATATTTATAATATATAATATATATATATGTATATTTTTTGACTTTTAAATAGCATTTTTATTACTTTTTAAACCGTTACTTTCGATACTTTCACAAGTTTTGCATAAAAAACAAGGCAATTAGAGAGAGATTGAGATTCTTTCTCGTCTTTATACTTAATGCGCGTGCGCGCGCGGCGCTCGTACGCGAATATTCTATACTTCGGTTGAATCACGTATGTGTGTATGCGTCCGAGAATGTATATATATATATTTATATTTATATAATATATACATCTTATATTATATGTATAATCGTAAAAGTCACGTCTTTTACTTTCAATCGTTTTAATTATTCTCTCATTTTTGCTCGCTCTCTTTCTCTCATTCTCATCACGCAACTAATAAAGAAAGACTAAGCTCTTGGGTAAGAATACCGATTCTGAATAACTCTCTCGCGTATCTCTTCTCTGCCTTTTACGATCGCGTACAAATAAACCGGAGAGATATAGATAAATATATTATATGCGTATTGTAAACGACGCTTTGAAACCGAGACGCGGCCGATTCTTTTCTTCTCTCTTTTTCTTTACAAATTACCAACCGGTAAGATCTAATCTACGTACTCGACCGTTCTATATTTTGTATATATATATATAGAAAGGCTAATTTTTGTTATTTTATCACCACGCGCTCGGGAACGCAATCGCGTCGATGTGTGGCGTGTAAATCTAGCAAAATTACCTAGTTCTTTTGACTATCTTTGCATACCGTCTACCCTCGGGCGATCGTTTTCAGGAAACCGTCCACGCGCGAACTACTCTTCGAGCTCCGCGCGCTCGATCGATTTTCGGCTCATCGACGTTCCTGTTTTCTAACGCGAGACGAATCTCGCGGAGTTCGGACGGTTTCTGGACCGATTTGTCAGACCGAGTCCGGACTCGCGGTTACGATTCCGCGATTACTTCTTTTTCTTTTCTTTTTTACAAGGCAGAGCACGACGATTTTCTCTCGAGCGTGCTCTTTCGTTTCCCTGTCGCGTTTTTAAGGACAACCACACTCGTCCACCACCATCTTCGGCAGGTCTCTCTTGATAATGTTCGAGTCCGGGCCGTAGTAGATTAGCGACATGGGCGAGAACTTGAGAGGCGCGCAGCACGGTTGCATGCCGGCCAGCCGGTCCATCTTCCGGTATTCCTCGATTACGTGGGTATAATAGTTGAGAAATGTGTCCGGCGTTCTGTGACCAGCCGCGCAGTCTCCTCTACAGTAATTGGCGTAGTATCTGTCGAGAGAATCCGTATTAGCGTATCGATAGCGACACTCGTGTGCGTTAAAATGTCTCGAAATAGCTAGGTGCTTTCTTTGGGGAATACATCGCTCGAAAATTCATTATTATCCGACTGATTATAGGGTTAATATATTATTTGCATTACGAATGGTTTACTCACCCCTGAGGAGCAATAATCCAATCGTCCCACCCAAGCTGAGAAAAGCTGACATAGAACCTCTGCTTGCAGCACTGACCCTTTATCGCGCCGCTGCACTCGATTGCCCGTCTCCTAACGCGCTTCGCGGCCGCTGGATCAGTACGCACGACTAGAAACGGTCTATCCGGATCGTGATCGCCTGAAAGAAAATATTCTAATTACAGCACGCTTCCATATGAGACTAAAGTAGTGATTGTGTTATAAATAATCGTGGAACGTTACTTGATCGATCATGCAGTAATATCTTTCGACGACGCGATTGATCAGAGAATGCTTCAATCTTCTCGAATAAAACAATTATTGATCTCGCAATTATCTGATTGAAAGCTAGCTAAAGTTGAAATCCTACATGTGTTGCAATATAGTAAAATTATTATAGTAAAAAAAGTTTAATATTAATTTAGGATAATTAGCAAAAATTTCTGCGCTTGTTTGCAAGATAATATTTACAAGAATTTTCCAATCAACGTACTGAGAAAAAAAATTTATTAATCCCAAAAAATATTTAGTCCGATACTAGCAACTAAATATTTTAGGTATTTTAAGTAAACATTTTAAATTAATTAATTCTTGATTAAAAAATTTTAAAGGTTGACACGAATGCATATACTTTTTTTAGTGCAACTTAATAATTGTTGAAACAACCAATGTTTAGTTAACTAACTAACATGTTTAGTTGCTCGTATCGGACTAAATATTTTTTGGGATTAACACTTTCTCAGTGCGTAAAGATCAGGTTGGCAAACTTTCTATATCTCCCAAATAGTAAATATTTTAAGTTTTGTGCGGACCAAGAAGATATAAATATTCATTTAACTTATAAAGAGAGCAAATTTTTTATTGACGAAATTTAAAATATATAAAAAATTACACGATCAATTAATACAAAAATAGACGGTCGTAATTTGCCGACTCCTGAATTAAACGAATGAATTTATCGTGAATTTTTTCTATGACTTTCTTCGGGAATTACCTTTTGGATTTAGGGACGACTCGATCACGTGCGGCGAGTGCCCGTCGAAGGTCGATACGTGGACGTGCGAGCCGCATCCGCTGCAGTCGACGAGCAGCGTCAGTTTATCTTTCGAGTAGTTCGTCGTGTACCATCTGCTGACGACCTTCGTCACGTCGAATTTCTGCCAGCCGAGCTGGCCGACGTTCACCACAAGAGATGTCACCATCTCTAAGTGTTGCCCGAGTTCCTGTAGATTGAACCGCTTATTTCAGATAAAGAGAACTTTATTCTAACGTAATATAATAATTTCGTAAGACTGCATTAATGATTTTGTGTGTGTGTGTGTGTGTCCTAAAAGACAAGGACGTTGGAGTAGTATCTTTTCCAAAATAATTAATTTGATTGTGAAAAGTATTTCGATTGTTAAACAAATACATTTTTGGATTTTTTGTTGAATTGTGGGCCGCAATTAATTACAGTTAAAACGAAGGATCACGCGTGATATTAAAACTCTGTTATTAGAAATTTGCATGATTCCGCAAGGATGACTGATCCGCACAGTCATTTAGGCTTGGCGAACCTCTACCGAGAGGATCCGAGCTCAGTACACTGCATATACTCACATACATTTACACCTCATATATACCCATACACACATATTTTATAAGTAATAGATTCACAAATTTGAAAAAAAGTAGAAGATATATCTGATCTAAGGAGAATAAGAAAAATGAGAATAAAAACTAGACCCATACACATATGTTTGAAATGAGATGGAGCAGAATAGCGGAAGCTAAAGCTCATTTTTTATTTATATTATTTAAAAAAAAAAAGATCTTTATGAAATTATCGATAGATTACCTTGCCTCGAAGATGCGTCGTGTTACCGCAGTGCACTCTAAATACCCAGAGAGTGATATTTCTTTGGTTTATCTGACTGTGACGATGATGCTGATAGTGATGGGCATGCTTGAGCTCAACTCTCGCCCACAGAGTGGCTCTTTTGATTCTCAGAGGTTCCAATGCCGGTTCGCCGCTCGCCATTGGGAATTCTAGCAGTGGCTGGCCGTTCAACGTGTGCCCTGTAACAGAACATGAATATTTTAATTTGGGAAAATTAGATACAAAATTCGGCGGAATTAAATTTGTTATTCGATTTAAATTATCGTAATTTGTAGGATTCTTTGGTGTTCTAATTCGAGATATAGATTATATTTAAAAAATGTTCTCCACATGTCGTAACAGAAGTACGAGACTAAAAGTTTGGCAAAAATATTATTTTTTTGCTGAACTGGTAAATCTCGTAAATATTCTTGTTTGAATAAATTTTTGATAATACGAATCATAAAGGGAGAGAGAGAGAGAGAGAGAGGAGAGGGGCAATTAGCATTTATGAAGAAAAAAAATTTTGAAAATAAAGCGTAGACTGACTATATGCATTATGTGCAACGCAATGTGTGCAATTGCTAATTTCCGGCGTGTTCACGATAAAAATGTCGCGTCCGCATGGATAGATTTTTCCAGACTTCGTCTTTTTTCTCTTTCCCCTTTGCCATGTACTAGAAATTACGCGCCGGACTTCATTCATATACAGGGTGTCTTACAACCTTCAATCTAAAATTTTACGACAGGCTCCCTGTTGATATTTCCTTGAAGAAAAAGTTCATCCCGGAACACAGCATATTTTTCAAATGTTTTACATTAAACCTTGATAATCAAGCTCTGAACTGAAATTTTAATAAATCAGACTTTCAGGTTCTATCGTTTAATCATGTATATTGTTATTCAATCAAATTGTTAACATCCTGTTCAATCGCGATCCAAAAGCTACCTTCGTCAAAACGAGGTCAGAGAACAGCTGGATTCTCAATCTTATGATATAAAAAAAGAAACTATAGTGTGCCTTTATGTTTCAATTAAGAGAAAGTCCGCTTCTAAATTGATCCTAAAAGAATCTAATCATTGTAATTAAGCTTCGCGCTTCCCACAACCACCCTTTATGTACGCGCATACACACGTAAACACACAAACGCGCGGTACACGTACACGTGCTGCGTTCAACGCTCGTTCACTCGAAAGCGCCGCTTCTCATCTCTCTCTCTCTCTTTCTCCCTCTCACTCGTGGAGAGATGTACGTGTGTACACCTGCTTGCGTCTGTGTGGCGCGCGTAGAGTGAAAGCAGGGCGGCTTCATCCTTTAACGGTTTGGTGAGTCACGGACCAGGGTGGGTAGGGATAAGCACAGGGTGTCTGCCGCCCGTCTGCCTTCTGCCTTTCACCGCGCACCCCTTCGCCGTAACCCTCTATCGCCACCGCCACCGCCCCCACCGCCGCCACCACCACCACCCACCCGCACCCTCGTCTCCGCAGTCAACTAGCCGCGTCGCTGCGCGCGCTACGACGGCCGATATACACGCGATTATATCGCCGTTCGTCGTCTTTGCGATTGTAATGACTCGCAATGACCGGTAACGTTACGCGAAAATTCCCATGTGATAATTGCGATCATTCGCGAATGATTCGACACATGATAACTGTCCGCGATAAGGCCTCGCGAAGACTCGTTGCGATTCGCAGTAACTCGCAACAGGGGATTATCATCCTACTTGTACTGCATTAATGTTGTATATTTTGACAAATTTTCTTAAATTTTCTAACTTTGAAATGTTTCAATTAGAATAATGTCTATCTATCTATCTATCTATCTATTCATCTCTACACACACACACACACACACACACACACACACACACACACACATCACACACACGCACACGCATACATATACACTATATAGAATAATATTTTATATATATTATATATAATATATAATATTTCAGAAATTATCTTTTTTAGATTATGGCCTATTGCAAAAGCATGTAAAGTTGCGAGAGTAGATTTAAAAATTAAATTGCATCAAGGGAAAATGGAGTAATGCCAAAAATGACAGAACTATAAGAGAATTTAATTTCAGCAGAAAATTATAGGAATAGTCAAATTTAAAAAGGTAAAACGTAAATGAAACGTTATAATATTGCAGACGATTCTAGAGGAAAAGATAAGGAAGGTTTCAATCGATTTTACGAAATTCAGAGAGAGCACAATGGAATAATTTCGTAACGTTCTCGTCCTTCGCGAAGGCACCACGCCCGAACATATTCAACTCGATCTTCCTTCCTTTAGGAGATGGAATCGAGAGCCAACCAGAGCGGTGTAGTTTTTTGATGATAAAATTGTCGAATAACTGTACGATATTTCAATTTTACGAATATTTAGAAGATTTAAATTAAATTAAATTAAGCTAAACTAAACCGGACACAATTTTATTGTTTAATTTTATTTATACATTTATTAACTTAAACCTTCTATTCCTATCAAAAGCATAAATATGAATTATTATCGTAGATACGAGCATTTATCTTCTTTTATAATATCTCTGCATTTTAAGAATTATTATGAAGGCATTTGCGTAGCAATACATGATATATCTATACCTATAGTTTAAGATTTGTTAACGTTTCGCATTATGAATTAAACGCGTCCAACTGTGGAACAGGGTAACTTTTTTGTCTCATGATTTAGCGAGAGGAGATTGAGGCGGATATGCGGATGTGGAGGAAAAAGCGCGATATAAAACGCGGCTCCAGAATGCTCCACGTCCTTGGCACATGATCGACAACAAGACTAATACGGATTTTTAGTGGCGGAATACTTGTAGCACGATCGCTCACAAGACGCCGAAATTACGCGTTGGCTTCCCAAACTGGCGTCCCTCCTTAGCGCACAGTGTCCCGAAAGTCGCTCATTTTTCTCCGATTGCATCCGGACTGGGAGACATAACGCTTTGCATGAGGATTAAGATGAAAAGAAAGCGTCGTGAGTTTCACGATGGCCGAATGGTTATGTCACCCCTGTATATCGTACTCCCACAAAATTACAACAACCGCGACCGTGAATTCATTTCTCGTTCTCCACATTTCTTCCTCCACATCTTCCTCTCGTCTCCAAGCGATCGTCGTACCAAGTGTATGTTTAAGTCGTAAAAACTTAATATCTGTTACTCCGGGCAAAAACATTCTTACCAAAATCGCCATGTTTGTTGGTTTACATCTTTACATGAAATGTTGGAAATTTTCGACAGGGCACTTATGGCACTCGGTCACTTATTCTTCGAGACTCGACATCTCGATATGATGTACTCTGTCTCGACTTTTCGCTCTCCGTAAAGAATCTCGTATCTTTGAGCTTCCGCACGCTCCTTTACTGGGCTCTCTTTTTGGGCCCTCTCTCTCTCTCCCTCTCTCTCTTTTCCTCCCGCTCTCTATTTTTCTCTTTCCCTCTCTTGCTCTGGGTCGCGTGTTCTACATTTTCGTAGTTCGATTTTCTAACGGCCTCGCTCGAGTTTCGAGTGCGTCGTCTGTCGCACATTTCGAGGTCGGTACATCGGGTGGTACTTTTGCCCCCCGTGCGCCGCAATGCGACACCACCACGGGAATCTGCGCCCGGTTCTCTCTTCTCTCATCGCACAGGGGCGACGAGACTTTTTTCTCCTACGACGAATATCATTCGGAATAAATTTCACGCGAGAGGTCGTCAATCGCATGGCACTTTTTTTTTGTACGCGTTTAACGTTGAAGCAGTAGAAGCCTCAGCATCACGCTTCAATAATCGCGTTTTTCCCAATACATTAAATGTTCATTTATCTTATAATTTCTAGCAACATTTTCGTAAACGATTGTATCTCGATTTAGAGTCTTCTAATCGATTAATTTTTGCTATAATTATAAATTGAAGATGATTTCAGAAAAACGAAATTATTTGCATGTCAAATTGGGTTTTGCCAAAAGTGGCAGAGTTACTATAAATGTAAAAGATGATACCGATCAAGTACAGCGTGGCTCCAGATTGTAACGGTGCAGAGTAAACGCTATCGAGCGAATCAAGCTATTAGCATGGCCAAGGTTCGAGTGTTATAGGCCTTATATCATGTCTATTATGTCCTCGATGAGGCAAAATTTTCCGAGAAACGCTCTAAGAATAATCTCACAATACAAAGGATACGTAGGAAACCTAGGAAACAGAATGGAATTTGAAAATGCAAAAGAAACTTCAAGGCTACAAAATAATCTTCCTAAAACACCGAAGGATCGCGATGTAGATTTAATCGATCATTCCGGCAACAAAATAGGTCCATAATTTTCGAGGATGGGGTGGTTAATGGGGTGTGTTGTAAACGTGTGAATCTACAGTGTGTACGAAAACAACGCAGCCTCGTAGTGCATCGCAACCGCGAACGTTAAGTTTAGAAGGAATGACGCTTCCGAGATAACGCGGGTCGTTATTGTTTCTCGAAATAGGTAGATTCTTAAATAATCAGATCTAGCTGGCATGTTATAGAATCGCGAATGCCACGAGCGGCTCACTTGGCTTCGAAAATGATTGGCAAGCTCCTCGTGACCTTGCGTCAAATAACTGCCGCGAGATAACTCGCGTCGTCCTACTTTTGAAATTTTCCCGGCGGCACTTTCTTCCGAAACCGTCGCTTAAGAATCCCTCCGAGATTTCCGCGTTCTCTAATTTAATAGAAAGCCTTTTCATTGGAGGTAGTGTACGGGGCGACGTGGGAAAAAAAATCTCAGGACTTTTCCGAGTTTAGACCTTAGATATACGGCTCGAGATTCGTAGGTCCTCTGGATTCGTCCTGGAGAAGCTGATATATCGTTCCGACGTCTTTCCGCGCGTCCCCTTCTCCCAGAAACGCACACAAAGAGACAATCCAAAACCCACCCCTGCTATTTGAGAAATATGCTTTTTATGGAAATTAAATATGATCGATTAGGAAGAGCGAAGAAATATAAATTTTGAGATAAAAGAAAAATACAAATTATTAAAAAGAAACCTTTCTTTTATCATGATTATTTTTATAAGGTCGAAGACAATTTTTCTTTAGTGGAAATATCGAGGATGTGGGGATCGCTTATTATTTAATTTGTAACATTATAATTCCTCGTGACCTAAAGCATAAATTGTGTCGAAAGAAAAGAGATTTTTTATGATTTAAATATAATATATTCGCCATATG